TATGGTCATTTTTATCTTTCATTTATGCATATATGCTATGTCTATATGCCACTTTTTGTTGTTGAAATTTGGTTTGCTATAAATATGATTACACAATGTTGACTGCTGAACCTCTATTTTTGACATTTTTGACATTTTCACTTTTATGTCTGTTTGTTTTGTTCACACATTGTTGTAAATATTATGGAATTTTATGCGGCTGTTAGGCAAGGGAGCTAGCTATAATCCAGGTTAAATCCACTATTTTCTACATAAGGAAAAGCCTGTACCTAGTCAGTAATATGACTATACTCTCAGATTTGTACTTTGTGCTTTTTGTGTAGTTAGGAATTTATAAAAACCCTGCCACGTCCGAATTGTGTTTTTGGTAGATGTGTTTCGGCTTTATTTGAAGAAGATTTTATCCCTTTCCAACTGATGATTTTGTACATTATGTTCTTATGTTATGCTGTAACATCACTGTCCAATTTAAGGGGAGGGTTGAGTCACTCACAATAAAATTGAGAATGGAAATGGGGAATGTGTCAAAGAGACAACAACCCGACCAAAGAGCGGAAAACAGCCGAAAGCCACCACTGGGTCATCAATACGGCGAGAAAATCCCGAAACCGGAGGCGTGCTTCAGCTGGCCCCTAAAGAAAAATGTGTACTAGTTCAGGGATAATGGACGTCATACTAAACTCTGAAATATATAAAAGAAACTAAAATTAAAAACCATACAAGACTTACAACGGCCAGAGGCTCCTGACTTGGGACAGGCGCAAAAATGCGGCGGGTTTAAACATATTTTTGAGATCTCAACCCTCCCCCTATACCTCTAGCCAATATAGAAAAAACAGACACACAGCAATACGCACAGTAAAACTAAGTGTAAAGAAGTCCGAGTCCGATGTCAGAATAGGTAGCAAAAGAAACAAAACAAAATGACAATGATACATAAATTAACAAAGGACTACTAGCAGTTACTGAAATGCCAGCTCCAGACCTCAATTAAACTGATTAAAAAAATATGTCTTCGTCATATGATTATCAAGCACAATCCCTCCCGTTAGGGGTTTAGTATCATACCATCATAAAATACATGAGAAGAACATAACCCGTATCATGCCAACAACTGGTTTTAGAATAATTATGTTTATTTACGATGCAAAGACCCTATAAGTGAATCAATATTGAGCCAAAATATGCCATCTTTAATGACCTGACAACGGTATCGTAACTATATCCGTTCTTAATAAGTCTGTTTAAAGGTTTTGTTAGCGTTCGAGGTGAATGCCGACATTTTTGTGCTTTGTAAAGAATATTACCATAAAAGATTGGATGTGAAATACCTGAACGTTTAAGATGTATACATGTTGATTTATATTTACGAATGATGTCCTTGTGCCGATGATAAAATTTAGTAAATGTTTTGACTAGTTTGTGATATCGAAAACCCTGGTGTAATAATTTTTCAATAATACATAGATTTCTTTCGCTAAAATCTAATACGTTGTTACATGCACAAGCGAATTGTACAAGTTGAAATATATAAACACCATAAGATGGTGACAAGGGAACGTCACCATCTAAAAATGGATAATTAACAATAGGAAATGAAAAATCATCTCTTTTATCATAAATTTTGGTATTAAGCTTCTCGTTAATGATATAGATATCAAGATCCAGGAAAGAACGGTTGCTCATTGTTAGTATTAGCTTTATTTAAAGTTAGTTCAACAGGATAAATTTCTTTAGTGTACATACTGAATTCGTCATTATTGAGAGCCAATATATCATCCAAATATCTAAAAGTATTATTAAATTTTTGTAACAGATGTTGTTGCGATGGGTCTTTGCTGATTTTAGTCATAAATTGTAACTCATAACAATACAGAAACAGATCCGCAATAAGTGGTGCACAGTTAGTTCCCATTTGAATTCCGATAACTTGACGATATACGGAATCTCAAAAGCGAACAAAAATGTTATCTAGTAAAAATTCAAGGGCAGTTATAGTATCAAAGCATGTCCAATTGACATAGTTTTTTTGTTTCTTGTTACTGAAAAATGACCTAAAAGAGTTTGAATATACTTATTCGCATTCTGACTTTTTAAATGCCCATTTAATAAGGTGTGTGATTTTTTCTTAATAAGAATATGAGGCAAAGTGGTATATAGGGTAGAAAAATAAAAACTTTGAACAGATTCAAAATCACCAATATAAGCATGCAATTTATCAAGTACTTCCAACGAATTTTTGACCCTCCAAAAGTAATTAATTCCACTATTTTCAAAGGCCTTATTTGAACAATTTATTATCAGGTTTTTGATTTTACCAAGTGTACTAGTAACATTATTAACCCGCCACATTTTTTATGTGTATGTCTCTAGTTATGAGCATGCAGTTCAGTGGTTGTCGTTGGGTCATGTCCGTATGAATATGACAACTGTTTTTAATTCGTGTTATGTGTTTGAGTTTTGATTTTTGGCATTTGATAAAAGGACTTTTCGTTTTGAATTTTCCTTGGAATTCGGTATTTTTTTTTTTTTTAAATTAACCATGTTTACTTTTGGCTTTGAAATAGCTGTCAGTAACTGCGAGTACTCTCAGATATGTACTTTGTGCTTTTTGTGTAGTTAGGGATTAATAAATATTCTGCCACGTCCGAATTGTGTTTTTGGTAGATGTGTTTTTGCTCTGTGTCGATATGAGTTTAGCTCTTTTCAACTGCTTATGTAAAGTTTGTTCTAATGTGTGCTGTAACCTCACTATCAAAGTTAGGGGAGGATTGAGTCGCTCACAAACATGTTTAACCCGCCACATTCTGTATGTCCCAAGTTAGGAGCCTGTAGTTCAGTGGATGTCGTTGCCTCATGCCTGTTATGTTTGTTTTTACGTAAATTGTTTTGTTATAAATTATGCAACAAGGTTTCTCAATTGAACTGTTTCATATTTTTCATGTCGGATCCGTGTATAAAATTGAGAATGGAAATGGGAAATGTGTCAAAGAGACAACATAGCTGACCATATTTGAAGTCTGGACAGCACTGGATTCATATCTTTATAAATATCTTAAAAAAAAAAGCTCCAATGCTTATCAAGAAGTTACGTTTTTAGACTTAGGCATCTACGATTTAGATTAAAATGTCCTTTTAAAGACTTGTATTCATTTAAAAAGTGCACAATCCCAGCCTTTTATCCTCGAATCTGTCATCAATAAATGAGTTGTTACTGATGTGTTTACTTGCACGACGTGTTCCACCAGTAGAAGAGGAACTGATTTCCCCTTCGGGTCACCTTTTTCTCCTCAGTTTGTTTTTGGAAGATTTGTGCTGCTCTATCTTTAAATTTTCTGGGATATAATTTTTTTCTCATTATTTTTTACTTTTGTGTTGACTGTTTTTAATTGGCTTATGGTGTTTGATTCCCCCATAAGTATCTGCTTCTTTTTTTTTAAATCAAGAATCTTTGTTAAAATATCTTCATTACTGGGTGATACGTTTTCAGAGGGAAAATGAAAATTTCTTGAAATGCGATTTTGAATAGAATAAATACGAGTAGTGTGTGATTGTTCTAGTACTTATTTCATTATCCCTTTTCATACTTGATATATTAAAGGATGAATGATAACGAATGATTGTTTGTGAACTCATCTTTATTGCAGAAAGAAAACTTGTTAAAAAAAAGCAAAATCATGCAATCCAAATGCAAACACATTGAAACTAAAAAATATATTTAAAGAAATACACACATAGTATACAATGATTGATTATGAAAACAAACATTCATCATTAACCGTGTTAACTGTGTAAACAACAGTTATTTTATGTTGACTTCATCTTGATATTTAAGCAAACATGTGTTATGAACACGAGTTTCTGAAAGATTTAGGTATTGAAATTTCTAATTGTAAACTCTACTTTGAAGAAAACAAAAACAATTTTAAAAATACTATTCAGGGTCGACTGAATGTTTGGAAAAGCATATTCTCTTTATAAACCCCTATAAAATACGGGAAAGTACACAAAAAAAGCAAAGCTTAAACACTTTTGAATGTAATAATTTTAGTAACATGGCTGCACGATCATCATACTTTACACGTTAGTTTGATTATAAAGTAACTGATTATACATTTCAAAAAAGATCCTTTTTTTCACGAATTATTTCCTGAAACTCGATATTCAGTATTATCTTATTAGATTGTCACAAAAAGTAAAATCATTACTTGCAACATGGTTTTTCTCGTTACAATATGTATTTTGTTCACATGTTCCCGCATATGTGTTTTTCAATACACCGCTGTAGAATTTTGCTATCTAGCAAATATTTTCGCTCAAACTAGTACTAGTGGCTATCATGAAGTAAGGTATGACCCCAAGGTTTTGGTGGGGTTCGTGTTGCTTAGTCTTTAGTTTTCTATGTTGTGTCTTGTATACTATTATTTGTCTGTTTGTCTATTTCCTTTTTAGCCATGGCGTTGTCAGTTTATTTTCGATCTATGAGTTTGAATGTCCCTCTTGTATCTTTCGCCCCTCTTGTATAACTTAATGCTGCGATTTGAAAACTCAATTATTCATGAATTTGTGTCCTGAATAAAACACCACACCCTTTCTTCTCCATAACAGTTATTTTCTTGCCTGTGAATTCCGTTAGTAAATTTAAAGCTAATCAGTCATTGTCCAGAAACCGGAACGTTAGAAACATGTTTAGCCGTTCCGTGAGTATAATTTTCTATGAGTGTACCATGGTAATGTTGACTTCGCATGAAGGGGTGACACGGGATGCTCATTTCCAAAATCCCTTTTATTAAAAAAAAAAATCCCACTTTCCACATTTTTTTTTCATTTTTTCCACTTTTTGTTCCGCCTAAATACCACATCCCCACTTTAACCCCTATATCCCACATCCCAAATGCGTATCATTCCCCTATTTGTCAGATTATCAACATTCAATGGAAGTTTAAACTTATTGTAATGATGCAAGATATGCTGTATAAACAGGCACATGAAGAATGTCCCTAGTAAGCATTAACATCATATTTCAATACTCTTGATTATATGTTTTCAGTATTTCTAAGTTAAATCTGTTTATATATAGAGTTCTAAATCTTTTTTTATACAAATATCCGGTTTTACATTTTCAAACACTATTTTCAATAAAAATTACTCAAAATATTGAATAATTCCCTCAAAACGTAAATTGGTATTTTCGTCTTCTGCCATCACCCTGAACTCGGTTTCGTCATACCAGAGTGAAACCGCAAATATTGTAGGTTTGCGAAGTTTGGGAAGTTTGAACTTGATAGTTCCAATCTTTGTAAAATCGTTGATGTTGACCTCATGTTCCGGGTTATCGCTCTTTGTTATATATAATTCAATGCAGCCCAGCTGGTTGCTATCATCAACTTGGATCTTGCAGCTTTCAACGTATTTCCCGACATCCATTCTCCTTCCTTTCTCAATAAGGAGATGGAAGATTTTTTTGTGTAGAACATTTCCTAGCAGTAGATTTCGATCCCCAGGATCAACCGAAGCTCTTATTCCTAAACCGTAGTTGTATTTAGCGACACGCCCAGTAATCGGTTCTTTGGAATGACCAGAAATAACAGCCCCAGTAAGCACAACAATTTCAGGGTTCTGGGGAATAATCAATTTGAATTTGTGACCAAACTCTTCTTCGAAAGCGGTCTGTATTATTGGCGACGAAGCATATCCACCGACAAGTATAATTTCGGAAACTTCAATTGCTTCTTGTAACAAACCAACTATATGCTTAGTTATGTCAGAAATGCATTTATTGAAAATGCCCTTCATCATTTCCTGGGAAAATAGTATATGCTTTTCTCCTTTGCCTATTACGATGTTGTTTCCAAATTTTTTCGATAATTCCCCAACGTTTACCTGCTTCTGTAAAAACTCTGGCAATCTAAGAGTAAAGTCATCCTCTTCGTCATATTCTCTTTTCGCAGATTCAATGTCAGCAAGCAATTCCAAATAAGAATTCATTTCTTCGGACCGCAATCTGTGCATGTGTTGCCCAAATATGTCATTTAGCACATCTACGATTTTCTTATTGATGGTATCACCACCCCATTTACCTCCCGATGCCTTACTGATTTCCTTCATTTTTCCAGATTCCAAAACTTCGGATACCGTTATATCTACGGTTCCACCTATCATAAATAGAATTGCAAAAATTAAAGAGGCAAAAGATACAAAAGGGACGATATTACGTAAAAGAAAAACAAACAACACCATAACCAAGCCGAAAAACTACGAAAAGACAAACAACATTTAACAAATCACAACACAAAAAAGATTGAGCACCACAAAACCATTCGGGAGTTATGCCATGTACTCTGCAAGGGTAAGCACATTTTCCCCTCTAGTGGTAACCATCGTGCTTCCAAATACAAGTAAACTTATCGATGATAAGTCCATTCGTTGATTTGACAATCGACGAAAAGGGAATATGATTGTGGTTATGACAATTGGAACCTATCCAGGGCCATCTTATAAACAGATATTATAAACAGTCAACTAAATCACCATTGTACGTACAATGATTTAAAATGTATATATGTTGTAATAGTATAGCTCTGTGGAGTTTGTACACTCCTGACGATTCAGAATTTGATATATTGTTAGAAGACCGTATGTAAAACTACCAAAAAAAGGTTAATGTTTAATACTCGTTTGTTGTGTTTGGTTGTTTTCTCGTTGATTTTTACTAAAAATCTCCGTTATTCTAACTAATGTAACAACACTCGAGCACTTTAGTTTTAACTTTTTTAAGTATGTTTATTTTCATTATTTTTGGTCTTCGACTGTTGGATTTTGATGTTCCCTTGATATCGTGATAGATTGTTTTAGGGTTTTCTGATTGTTTAAGAATATTTTGATTAACTGCTGATACAATTATTAGTTTACTTTTCACCCAAAAATAACTCAATAATGTACGGCTCCCGGAAAGTGTGGTCATAAAACCAAAACAGGCATTGAATCACTTTTTACCATGTGTACATTTTGAATAGTCTCAATGTAAATACCTTCTAGGTCCACAACCATAAACTTTGAACCAGGTCTAAAAAACTGTAGTGCTGAATTCCTTTGGTCTTCGTCTCTCACCAACTCATCATGCTTGCAATAGACCGCTGCACATTCTGGTTCGAGAGCAAGTGACATGTTGTCCCTGTCTATTCCTGTCTAAAAGTACGAAAAGCTAAATTGTAAACTGTATATTGGTTAGGACAATACGTTACTGGTTTTGTTAAAAATGAAATTCAGTGATAATACTTAACTGAAAATAATTTATTAATTTGCTTTTGAAGCGCTTTTCTGGATTTACCTCAATTAACTAAGCACTAAGATGCAAAGGTTTGAAGACCTACAGTTATATGACCAAAAGGGATATGAAAATAATAGCGATAATCATCGAAGGGATGAATAAAGGAGTTAGATAATGTATCAAAGGAAACTTTACGAAGGGTGTAAATAAGAATTCATGTCAGTAAAGAAGCACTGACTACAGAGCAAAAGTTTTTCTGGATTTTCTTTTATCAATAATGGCAAAGGCAAACAAATTTAAAGCTACGAATGTAAAAGTCTGTGGAAACGAGAGTGACTGTGAAAGGGACATAAAAAAAGGCATAAATCGATTTAGATAAACTTTTTCTTAGAATGCAGAGTTAGTTAGATACTATTTTCTCTAATTTTCATGCTATTTTCACATGTCTCGATCGGTGTGACAACTTTCTTGATTTCCTCTAAATTTCCTATTGTGACGTCATTAAAAAAGGCGACCATGTCTAATGACGTCGCATATTAAGAACACAACTCTGCAAATTATTGAAGAGGAAGGAGAAATTTGTTTAGATATGGCCTTAAAATCATCAAAGAAACAGATTCCACCACTATATCTCGTATATTATGATATTTCTTCACTCTCAACAGTTAAATTTTAAATATTTAAAAAGCTCGGCAAGCTTCGCGTTTTAAAAGTTTAAATTTTACTGTCTCGAGTGGAGAAATATCGTAGCACACTTGATGTAGTGGTGGAATCTATATTTTTCTTATTTTTTTATGAATTTGTGAACGCAGAATATAATTTGTCTACACTATTTGTGATTTATGTATGTTTTAAATCACAGGTTGCATTGTTAGTGTCAATACCGATTACATGACAGAATTATACTTAAAAATTTAAAGATTAAATTACCGCAATTTTATTTCGAAAATGAAAATTATATACCTTTTCAGCTGCTTTAATCATAAAATGTCGGGCTTGTTCACTCCAAATGGCAGGTACCGTTAATACCCAATGTATATCAACATCTTCAATACTTGTGTTCATCTGCTTTATTCTTTCGTTTGCCTTTTCTTTAATGTGTACAATACAAGCAGCAATCACAGTAATACAACTCTTTTCCTTTCCATCTATTGTGCGCAGTTTCATACTTTTGGAAAGCTATAAGAGAACATTTATCCTGCCATTAGCCGTCCTACTATACTTGCAATGAGTACGTTTTGCACAATTATCAATGATTATGGATGTTGAATTTTTGTCCTGTTTTCAATGAGTCAGAACACCCATTTTCACAAGTTTTCTAGTGAAGGCGGACAGAAAGCAGTATTTGTTGTCAATGTCTTAAAATATCATTTTTTTACCATGGAAGAATACAGATAATAAAGGTTGCCTAATATATTACAGATATCAAAATATTGCATAACATATCTTTATTGGCGGGATTATTGTCTCTATATCTTTATTTTTTTGCATATGGACTTTTAATTTGGCTATTCCTTGTTTTTCTGTTTGAACATGGTATTGTCTTATTTTTGTAATTATAGTATTTGAGTGACCTTTATATAGTTTCACTCTTTTTTGTAATGCAATTTGTTAAAGTGCGTTTAATTATAGACAGCTATTTTATAAGATCAACAGTTTTTTTTTCTATTAAAAATTATTCTGTAAAGACAAGTGTTTACAGATTGTAAAATATTTTGAGTAAATGTCGGTTGTCAAATACATTTTCTTACCATCTAGGGATAGATTTAGTAAAGAGACTACAAATTATTTATCTAACTGTTGAATGTTTGATTGAATGATAAGTGTTTAACGCCCCTTTCACCACTATTGTGCTATTTCGTGGCGGTCAGTTTTTTGTTTTTATTGGTGGAGGAAGCTGGAGTGACCGGAGATTAAGATTGGAGTCAACACACCTGCCACTTATGGGATTCGAACTCACAATCCAATGTTGACAGGCTAGTGATACAGTATTTAGACTACTTAAACCACTCGCCTACAGAGACTCCTTTTAACTGTCGAAACGACTTCAATGTATTCAGTTGAAACAATATTTAAATATATTATTATTAAATAGGATGTTATTCAGAATAGCTATGTTAAACTAAAAACTAAAATATTGATATCTTTTATTAGTGAAACCGAACTTTCTTGTAAAATGAAAAAGTTTATATAAATGCATGATTCCAATTTTAATACAACAGACTGTCGAGATCTTAAGTTTTTGAAACTAAATTAACCTAAAATAACGTTATACCATCGAAGACAAATTGAGCATACGAAAAACACCAAAAAATCGAATAATACCAATTTCTTGATTAGCATCTTCCTTCGCTCTTAGTTTAAGTACGAGTTAACATATGATAAATTGAAAATTCACAATACACTTACTACCATATCCTTACAAAAATTAAATGAGACAACATGATATGTTTTTACCGACTTATTTAAATGGTATTTCAAATTTCAACTTACTTTCTCACCATGAAGTTGCATTTTGAAGTTTCGGAAGAAGAACAAATCGTCTGCCTGTCCTCTTAATAATAACATCTTATATTTTCTTTCTGCTTGTTCTCCGAATGCTACAAATTCTTCTGCGTTGAAAATCACCGATGTTTGTGTTTTGTGATATGCTTTCTTCTTTTATAGTTTTATATTCTCAACCCTTAGAGGATTGCTTTCAAACGATGATTTTGTCGAAAATGCAGCACCAGAAAATGTCGTTCCGAAGTCAATTGCTGCAACTACCTGTATAGGTCTGCAAGAAGAAATAGATGCATTCCGAGATAAATAAACAGTGTTGTTGCTTTGTTTCTTTTATAAACTGATAATCATATAATGCAGCCGTGTTATACAACTTAATTAAAAGTACCAAAGTTCAAATCTCGTAAATGGATTAGGAAGAGACAAATCAAAGAAAAAAAATGGTATCGCATTAATTCAAAAATGTACAAGACTGGTTCGTTGAGAGGGTAACCAACTAGTGAACACTCTCGCAAATATATACTCCAGGAACTTGTAATTCAGTGGTTGTCGAAAGGGCGTATTTGTGCCGGCAATGCTTTAACTACAACTCGGTCGATACTCTGCTCGTGAACTGTACGTTCCAAAGTTATCGCCAGTACAATAGCCGAGATTCGATACTGACATACAAATACTGATATTATGTTATTGTAATTGGCTGTATTTCTTTTTTGAAATAATTTGAATTAAAGGAATATATCTCCCTCGTGCAAAGCTCCGATTAAGCTCTTTTTCTTATATCATTTTGTATTGTTGGTTCTTTTAAATATTCGAATTTTTGAATATTATGGTCTCGAGCATCACCGAACAGACATTTATTGTGAAAGTGCGTATCTGATGCCATTAAATTGTAACGGTTAATGTTATTACTATCAACTGTTAGTCACCAATGGTATCACCGACCCAGTAGCCAGTACTTGTGTTCTTGAATATAGATACGGATATTGTGTTATTAAAATTTGCTCTTATGAATTTTCTTTTAAAGGACAAAGTACGATCAGAAGTATTAGAGAACGGCATCAAGTTTTCGTTCAGATTAAAGGTGATGTGTCATAAATTATAGTACTATATTTTTAAAGATTGAAACCTGTATTTTTGTAAGCTTCAACAGATTTGTCAACTTTCGCTGATTTGTTTTGTTGTGGTAAATACCTCCAGATCAGCGAAAAGTTTTCTAGTGCTTTTATGTATTTTTAACTTTTCTCGAGCCTCGAGCTTACCTTCAGCACACTTTCTTATTCATACCTGTCATTCCTTGGACATACACGTTGTTGCATTTAAAATATCTATGTGGGCCAAAGTAAAAAATTAAAGTATGCGAAAAAAATCGTCATAGTTTCATTGAATCATCGAAATATTTAAACGAACTGAGGACAACAGAAGATTTACGATATTCACTGTATCTGTCGATAGCATTTTCTTCTGACTATAATGGCTAGTTTCTTTACGACTTGAATTTTACATCTACGTAAAATTAACATAGCATACTGTTGTATTAATAATTGCATGAATTCAAAGTGAGAAGTCAGCAGACCGTGTCGAGTTTTGACACACAATCCTAAGGAGCTGTGACAAACGTCAGAATATTTGTTTTGGAATAATTAAACCAAAGTAAATTAATAATTGGTTGTTATTTGACAAAATTTCAATGTTTAGAACACTGTGACATAGACGTTAACCGTGGATCGGCATGTCGAAGCAGGAATACTTAACGTAAAAAATAATAAGCACGTTATCTCCGTGAAATGGTGTATTCTGAACAAAAAAAATCAATTTTGAATACAAATTCTATATCCAACAGATCGATATTGATGTCAACATCAATTTTAATACAACTTTTCCCTTCAGAGACACGTATTTTCATTGAATCAAATAAGTTTTATAAATGACGTTGACGCTTTTGCGAATAATGCTCTCATTCATGTCCGCATTTCTATTAAGTAAGCATTTTATTACCGGTGGCGAAAATTAATTACAGAACTGCGAACTATAACAGACATTGTAGTTCATACGACATAAGAAGACACCATGTGAAAAGTTTTATTATCAAATTGTGTTACAGTAATAGTAATAAAGATCAAACAAAACAATCCAACACTATGACCCCGTTCACACTCAGACATTTAGATCAATTTAAGTCAGGTGTGAATGCTTTAAATCGATTTGATTTGAATGGGTCAAAACTAAAACACCGAAAAATGTAGTCTAGATTGAATCAATCTAATTCTAAATGTATACACAGAAATCGATCTAAACTAATCTGAGAACTGATCATTCATTGTTGTAAAGAAACATATGAAAATAGTGGAATAAACCATTTTTGGAGTGTAAAAAATTCTTTAGATATTTTAGATAAATTACGTCGTTTTGATGGTCCTTTGATCATGTTGATTTGGTAGACAGTTTTGACTTTTCCACTCTTTACACTACACCTCTACATATAATCTAATCAAAGAAAAGTGTTCTTATCTAATTGATGGTCATTCGATAAATCTGATTACAAATTTATTTGCTGAAACTCATGTAAAGCCTTTTTCTCAAACGAGATAGGTAAGTATACTAGATATACTTACTGGAGGTGTGATAAGATGATTAAAGCCATAAATTTTCCCCTTGACAACATTCATGTACGTTTCGTCAATAAATGTATCGACAGATTGTATGTATCCATACGGACACCAAGTGCGCTCTTTAGTAGCAGACTTTTTTTGTACTGTTATGAATCAGAGTTTATGGCCAAAAGCAGTAAAGACCGTCAAAATTCTTTTTAATTGATAAATTCAGCAACACCTACCGTTATGCAGATGATATATTTTTGTTAAATAATCAAGAATTCTCTAAAGACATGCCCAAATTTACCCAAAGGAACTTACCTTAATTAGATCAAATATTAACAGCAATAAGTGTCGTTTCCTAGCTTTAGACATTTTAGTTCTACACCAGAAACTGTACACAAAAATTCACAACAAAAGGGATGATTTTTCTTTCCATCTTGTTTGTTTCCTTTTTTGATGGGGATGTTCCTCTGGCACCGTCTTATGGTGTTTATATATCCCAAATCTTTTGCTATGCCCGTGTCTGTAGTGACGTTTTGCATTTCAACGAGCGTAATCTCTGTATTACTGGGAAATTACTAAGTCAGGGATTTCGTAACCACAAATAACTTAAAACATTTACTACATTCTTCCAAAGATACAAAGACTTGGTTTGCAAGTTTAGCTGTACCTGTAAAAAACTTATTTCAGACGGAATAGCACATTCTAAATTTTACGGTGATGTTGTTTACCGAACCTGAACATTTATATACAATCCGGCTTAACTTATCAATCCTTTAAATAGACTTATTATTAAAGGTTACAAATTCAACACTGTAATTCGATCTTTGAAAAAAGTAAAATAACAAAAATATCGACTCCAAGGAAAACCAAATCGGAAAGTCCCTTATCAAATGGCAAAATCAAAAGCTCAAACTCATCAAACGAATGGAAAACAACTGTTATGTTCTTGACTTGATACAGGCATTTCCTTATGTAGAAAATAGTGGATTAAACCTGGTCTAATAGCTAGCCAAACCTCTCACTTGTTTGACAGTCGCATACAATTCCATTATATTTACAACAATGTGTGAACAAAACAGACAGACATAATAAGGAAAAATGTCAAAAATAGGGGTACAGCAGTCAACATTGTGTTATATAATCTTAATCACTATAAAAACAAACAAATATGCCAAGAAAGAAAATTATATGACATATAGAAAAAGCACATAAGCACAAATGAAAGACAGACAAAATGGCATATAAACAAATCACATAAGCAAAATTGAAAGACAATAATACTTAAAATGACCACAGCACAACGATCTTTAACATAACCCTGGTTCATCAACTTTCTGCCCAAACACTGGTGATGTTTTATAAAATCTGGGTAGCACCTTCGAGTTCTTGAGTTGGGAAATGTATATCCCATATGGAGCTGAAGTTTATATTGCTACTAAGGTGGGACCCAATCAGAAGAGTTTGGATTGTTAATGGATAGAACATCATCAATATATCTGAATGTGAAATTAAATTATCTGCTTTCTTTCGTCATCTTGTTTTTGACAGGTGTCTGAAAGAACACCGACTCATATGAAAATAAGATTAGGTCGGCAAGGAGAGGCGCACAGTTCGTTTCCATAGGAATGCCGAATATTGGTTTTATTGGTATAAATATTGATTTTGTTAATCAGTAAATTGAAATCATGCTTCAGAGTATGGTTATACATATGTGAACTTTAACGGTACTACAATCTGTCGATACCTTTATTTTGGCATTGCACAATGTCATGTTTTTCTCGGAATATTAATGACGTATTTACACGTATTATAAATCCATTAAATGATGGATGCGACTGATTGATATTTTAGTTTTAAATACATGATTATTTCATTAGTTGCTATTGACATGATTGACTTTGAACTAGCCGTTTGTAACTGCCAGTACTCTCAGATCTGTACTAAGTGTACTTTTTGTCGTTAGGGATGAGGGATGGATAAATATCCTGCCACGTCCGGTCTGTGTTTCTGTTTGATGTTTTCTGCTTTCGATCTGATGAGTTAAGCCATTTTCAACTGATTTTTATAGTTTGCTCTAAATTTGTGTTGTTACACCATTGTCCCATGTTGCGGAAAGGGTTGAACGCTCACAAACATGTTTAACTCCGCCACATTCTTAAGGTGTCTGTCCAAAGTCAGGAGCCTGTAATTCAGTGGTTATCATTGTTTGATGTTTGTCATATTTGTTTTTTCTCAATTGTTTTGTTATAATTTAGGCAGTTAGTTTTCTCAATTGAATTGTTTCATTTTTTTCATGTCGGGGCCTTTTATAGACATACATGTAAGTCGAAAATTAACGGACAACGCCATGGCTAAAAAAGAACAAAGACCAACAGACAAAAAAAAGTACAGAAAACTCAACATAGAAAACTAAAGACCGAGCAACACGAACCCCACCAAATACTGGGGATGATCTCAGAAGATCTTGGAAGAACAGAAGTACTAGACCAACAACAAATCAATTAACGATCGTGCATGATTTTGTTCTATTTGTATGAAATTTGAAATTCATGTTGCGGTATTTTGAATATAACTGTATTAACATCTTACTTTTTTGGAACTTCTAATAATTCAGACATGCGCTCAGACTTTCTTGCTTCTGATGATGATGCTAATTCTGATAAATGAAAAAAAAATATATGGCAATTATATAAACATATGCTTTAGAAATGTATTAAGAACAGCTTGTAAAGAACGAAAACCTTTAAAAAGTAGACATACGATCTTCCGCTAAAGATGTTTCTTTGTTTGATTAAATCACAACGGGTATTTGTCTTAACAACAGATTAATCCCTCGTCCTTTGTTCATCGCTTTCAACATATACGTATTTTTACAAAAAATTATCTGTACTACAGGTGATATGAATGTACTAGTATTTGCTTACCACTTTTGAATCACCTACTATTATGCAATTCGATTGTAACGATAATTTTCATTGGACGTTGACAAATATTTTGAAGCGTTAAATTCCACGTTCTAATTCCGATTTTGTTTGTATGTAATTTCTCAAAACATAAGCAAGAAAGTAACATTTTGTGCCTGAAAATGTTCTTTTTGTCAATATTAAAACCATTCAGAAAGAGTAAGAAAAGTACAAATACGTCTAGTATTTATGTTTGACATCGGGAGTATTTATATGACGTCACATTGTTAAGTTACCAAAGACGATGCAACAGTTTCGAAGACTTTTTATGGCATTTTAAACCCAAAACATTTATTAAATGGAATTTTTTTTAATATGAGGAATTAGAATGGAGATAACTATATTGTATTTTAAGCTTGGCTTTCGTAAAACTTGATTTCATCTTCGCAAATTACCCATTTACCAAGCCCCGGTGCGCGTCGCTAGGTAAACTCAATTTGCGACAGTAAAATCTACGTTTTACGAAGTCCAAGCTTAAAATTCAATACAGTTATCTCCTAATTTTGTTCATTTGTGGGGTTTCCGTTTTATTTGATATTCCTTTTGCGCAATGTGTTGTTTTCTGTGTGAGCTTTGTAATGTTATTCGAATTTATTTTTTTATTCTTTACTCGTAATAAACTCTGGTACTTTATGAGGTATAGTTTTTGAGTAAACCACTTTAATCTTTTTTTTGGCAAAATGGCCTGTCTAAACAATTTTAAAAATAACTCAGGCACATATATCTATCAATACATGGCAATATGATACCCTTGATTTCGTCAATGGACTGTCCAGCGGAATTATCGCATGTACCATCTAATTCAGCTAGTTCGTCTGGCATGTCTGGTAGATAAAAACTACTCTGTAATAAATTACAAATACTTAAAACGTATGTTGTTATTTTGAGATTTTTTGCATGATGATGATATGATTGATGTTTTATTGTTTGTGTTGTATGTGTTGTTTTGTTTCTGGCACAGCGTAATAACTAAATAAAAGTAAAGGAAGTTCTACATTATTGATCAACTGACAGAACATTAAATCAAATTCTTAACACACGATATATATGTTTACTTTCAAATGCACATGCTTTAAAAATAGAACTGACTTCGCTCTATTGTGGATATTGTAATTTGCTATTTGATATTCAGATCTGAAATCATGAACAGAAACAAACTTCATATTTGATTGCCATATTGACAATTTGTTGGAGCTCTCTTATATATATCGCACTGCTTTTTCGACATTTTTTCTGCATAATACTTTACAAGAGTCGATGTTAACACAGTACAATATTAAAAAAAGCTATGACATTACAATAGAAAATAAAAGGATATGATTAAATGTACATGGGACAAAATCGCACACAATACATAGAAAAAATTATCAATGAACAGGGCTTTTTTTCCTGTTCTTCACCTTGGCAATTGTTTTGTTTCTGAAATTAACAGTTGTAATATTAACATTCTGTCGTAGCTGTTACCAGAGAGCAGAGAAAAATTAGTATTGAAGGAAATCTGCCATCTTTCATAATGACGCGAATTCGGGCCAATATTATTTGAAAATGTCCCACGGTATAGTTTGATTTGCCGACCAATGCATCTTGTATTTAATTCTAATGCAATTAGTTTGTATCAATGTTACTGATTGGATGACAATGAGCGTAAAATTCTCTATCTCCTTGTCTGTAACTAATGAAGCCGACATTTTGAATTTCGGAATGTATTGACATGTAATTTCTCCAATAATAAACAAAAAACTCACAATTGCGCCTAGAAATCTTCTTTTTATCACACTTTATTACATTCTGAAGCGGACAAAAAGCCAGAAAACGCCCGGTGTTTACGTTTGATGTCAGAATCATACCTATGACGTCACCTAGTTTTGGCGCCAAAAAAGATAACATACTTTTGCGGAATTTTCGTAAAATGAAAATTTTACACTGAAATAATGACTACAATTGAACGATTTGTTTATTTTGCATTAGAATAGGGATAACTGTATTGTATTTGAAGCTTTGCGGACGTCCATCGGTAGTTTATCTGTTGCAAATATCCGTTTACCTGTCTCCGCTACGCGTCGCCAGGTAAACTAAATTTGCGACAGTAAACTACCGATGGACGTCCGCAAAGATTCAAATACGATACAATTATCTCTTAATTACTATTTCACCAACATTCCAACTGACACTTTTTTCGGAAAATGACATCTGTAACAAACATAAATTTTTAGCTACTTCTTTACAAGCAGAACCAAATACAATGAAAGTTCCAACTATGTACTTGCTTCCGAAGCTGCACAAAACACCTTACAAATATAGATTTATTTCGTTTTCAAGCCATTGTTCCACTACTAAAGTGTCTATTCTACTTACTAGTACACTTGGTACAATCAAAAACCTGATAATAAATTGGTCAAATAAGGCCTTTGAAAATAGTGGAATGAATTACTTTTGGAGTGTCAAAAATTCGTTGGAAGTCCTTAATAAATTGCATGCTTATATTGACGAATTTGAGTCTGTTCAAAGTTTTAATTTATCTACCTTATATACCACTTTGCCTCATATTCTTATTAAGAAAAATTTCACACACCTAATAAAATGGGCATTTTAAAAGTCAGAATGCGAATATATATGTTTAATCTCTTTTAGGTCGTATTTTAGTAACAACAAACAAAAGAACTATGTCAATTGGACCTGCTTTGATACTATTACTGCTCTTGATGTTTTACTAGATAACATATTTGTTCTCTTTGGAGATTCCGTATATCGTCAAATTATCGGAAATCTAATGGGGATTCACTGTGCACCACTTATTGCGGACCTGTTTCTGTATTGTTATAAGTTAAAATTTATGACTAAAATGAGCAAAGACCAATCGAAACAACATTTGATACAAAAATTTAATAACACTTTTAGATATTTGGATGATATAATGGCTCTCAATAATGACGACTTCAGTATGTACACCAAAGAGAATTATCCTGCTGAACTGACTTTAAATAAAGCTAATGCTAACAATGAACACTGCCCTTTCCTGGATATTGATATCGATATCTTTGGAGCCGGCAGTAACTGCTAGTAGTCCTTTGTTAATTTATGTATTATTGTCATTTTGCTTAGTTCTTTTGTTATCTATTTTGACATCGGATTCGTACTTCTTTTAAACTGAGTTTTACTGTACGTTTTGCTGTGTGTTTGTTTTTTCTACATTGGCTAGAGGTATAGGGGGAGGGTTGATATCTCACAAAATATGTTTAACTCCGCCGCATATTTGCGCCTGTCCCAAGTCAGGAGCCTCTGACCTTTGTCAAATCTTGTATGATTTTTAATTTTAGTTCATTTATATGTTTTGGAGTTTAGTATAGCCTCCATTATCACTTAACTAGTACACATTTTTGTTTAGGGGCCAGCTGAAGCATGCCTTCGGGTGCGGGATTTTCTCGCTATGTTGAAGACATTGGTGGTCTTCGGTTGTTTTTTTGCATTTTGGTCGGGTTGTTGTCTCTTTGACACATTCCCCATTTCCATTCTCAAATTTATTGTACTAGCGTGAGGAACACGACGAGTACCACATGCGGAACAGGATCTGCTTACCATTATGGAGCACCTGATATCACCCCCAGTTTTTTGTGGTTTTGGTGTTGTTCGGTCTTTAGTTTTCTATATTGTGTTTTTTGTGTACTGTTGTTTGTCTGTTGGTATTTTGTCTTTTTTAACCATGGCGTTGTCAGTATATTTTCGATTTATGTGTTTGAAAGTCCTTTCTGTACCATTCGCCTCTCGTTTAATTAGTGTGATATTAACCATTTCTATAAAATGCAGTTCTAGATGATAGCAGTGTCGTATTTGCATCAGCATAATTTCAGATTTGAATGTCGCATGCAATTGTTCTGTCTGTCAATATAACTTTACTTTAAACCACCCACAGTGTAACTGCAGGCATGAATTCCTGAAATAAGTATAAGTTAAGTGCCTGATTTTATGATGATTAAATTTGCTTTTCTCACTTACAAACATTGTCTTACTAAACTGACTGTTTTGAACTGCTTGTATAGCTTGTATCCATTTTTCTCTGGATTTTTCACTGTTTGCTGAAAAATGTATAGGATATACCATACCATATAATAAGCTCACAGTATATATGAAAATTCAATGTTCATGAATAACTGACATTTTATACTAAAATACAGAAACTTATATACTATGAACGTATGGCAAAGTTCTTCAGTTATAACAAGTAGTTACAAGAAGAAAACACAAACTGGAATGAAATCATCAACATTATACACTTGGTTAAAAGTATTAAATTAGAAAAAGGAATCAGAAATTAATAAAAGCTTTATAACATAAACAAAACACATAATAAACCAAATTTTAGGTACTGTTTTTCGTACTCCCATCTCATTGATGTTGACTCCAAACTTCAAATTCTGTGTAATTGCCAATTTCTATGTTTTTTCCCTGATTATTAACTAAAAATAAATTTGAATAAGGAATCTGACTTAATCTTACCTTTCAGCTTTAATTTTTTTATTCCAATGACGACCTTGAACGTATTTTCATCCCCTATTTTTATTTCAGTGTACTGAAACATATATTTCTACATTCATCAAATTCATATTTTTATCCATTTTACGCAAAAAAAGAACATCGATTCATTCGATTGTTCATTATGATGGCAATAATACTAAACAAACTACAAGCTTAATGACGATAAAAAAAATAGAAACATTGCATGATTGAAAAAAAAAAAAAAAAAAAAAACTATGGCCACTGTTGTGCATCAGGCATTATCTTTTTTTTCTATTATGTTTCTGCTGATAGATTTAAAAAGGAAAAGAATTGATAAAAAACCACCACAAAATAAAAACTCGATTTCAGAAACAATGCCAGCCGTTGTTTTTTTTTATTGTGTAAAGACATTTGTGTCCTTTGAGATATTTGAAGTTAATATCTGCTTGTCTTTCTGAGCAACAAAACCCCTTCTACAAAATGAGAGTGCTCTGAAAAGGTGAGCGTATATTGCTTTAAACGTGACATCTATTTTTAGCTCACCATGCCCAGAGGGCCAAGTGAACTTTTCTAATCACCGTCGTTGTCGTTAACTTTTACAAAAATCTTCTCCTCTGAATTTTCGAAATGACTGGGCCAAATATAACCAAACTTGGCCACAATCATCATTTGGGTATCAATAATGCCCAGCAAAGTAAGATCGACAAATAAAGCAACATGACCAAAATTGTCAATTGACCCCTTAAAGAGTCATTGCCCTTTATAGTCAATTTTTAACAATTTTTCGTAAATTTTTGTCATCTTTTACAAAAATCTTCTCCTCTGAAACTACACAGACAAATTCAACCAAACTTACCCACAATCATCATTAGGGTATCTAGTTAAAACAATGTGTCTGATGACTCCGCTTGCCAACCAACATGGCCGACATGGCTTAAAATAGAACATAGGGGTAAAATGCAGTTTTTGGCTTATATCTCTGAAACTAAAGCAGTAAGAGCAAATACGACATGGGGGTTAAAAATGTTCATCAGGTTTAGATCTATCTGCCCTAAAATTTTCAGACGAATCAAATAACCCGTTGTTGGGTTGCTGCCCCTGAATTATCAATTTTAAGGAAATTTTGCAGTTTTGGGTTATTATCTTGAATATTATTATAGATAGAGATAAACTGTAAACAACAATAATGTTCAGGAAAGTAAGATCTACAAATAAGTCAACATGACCAAAATTGTCAATTGACCCCTTTAGGAGTAACTGCCCTTTATAGTCAATTTTGAACAATTTTTCGTAAATTTTTGTAATCTTTTACTTAAATCTTCTCCTCTGAAACTACATAGACAAATTCAACCAAACTTAGCCACAATCATCATTAGGGTATCTAGTTAAAAACAATGTGTCTGATGACCCCGCCTGCCAACCAACATGGCCGACATGGCTTAAAAATAGAACATAGGGGTAAAACGCAGCTTTTGGCTTATATCTCAGAAATCAAAGCATTTAGAGCAAATACGACATCGGGATTAAAATGTTCATCAGGTTTAGATCTATCTGCCCTGAAATTTTCAGACAAATCAGACAGTCATCTTTTACAAAAATCTTCTCCTCTGAAACTACATACTAGACAAATTCAACCAAACTCAGCAACAATCATCATTGGGGTATCGAGTTTACAAAAAATATGTCTGATGACCTCGGCTGCCAACCAAGATGGCCAACATGGCTAAAAATAGAACATAAGGCTTAAAATGCAAGTTTTGTCAAATATTTTGAAAAACATTATAAATCTGACGGGAGCAAAAATGTTCAGGATGTTGAGCTCTACCAATTGTCTATACATGTCAAAACTGTCAGATGACTTCTTATAGGATTTATTGCCCTTAAATGACAAATTTTACCATGTTTTTCATTTTTGCCTACTATCTTGAAAACTATATAGATACAGAGATGAAGATGATCCGCAAGATAAGTTCTACAAATAGGTCAACATGGTTGAAATCATCAATCGACTCCTTATTAGAGTTTTTGCCCTTTGAAGATGATTTTGACCAATTTTTTGCATGTTATTGCCTTATATCTTAAAACTATAAAAGACAGATAGAAACTTAGCTAGGCAAAAATGATCAGCGAAACAAAATTTAAAATGAAGACAATATGGAGGAAATGGTCAGACGACTTCTTATTGGAGTTATTGCCCTTTAAGGACGATTTTCACTTTTTCTTTGCGTTTTGTCATATGTGATAAAAAATTATAATAGATAACGATACACTTAAAATCACAAAAATGATCAGCACGTCAAGATCTACTAACAAGTCAAATGTTTCCGATATAGTTAAGTAAATTGTGACTCTTTATTGAGAGTGATTGCCCTTAAATGAGGATTTTGTTTATCCTCTTTTGTGTTTTGAGCAAAAACTAAAGAAGATAGAGAGAAACTAAACAGGCTAAATGATCAGCAATACAAGATCAACAAAACAAATTTTTGTCATGAATTCTATTCTTGTCTACAATGTTAGAGAGTGTCCATTGTTGAATATACACATAGACCAAGGTAAGCGACACAGGCTCTTTAGAACCTCTAGATATTATTCCGGTAGATAGCTCTTGATATAATGTTTTGACCTTTTAGTTTTTTCAATTTTTCCTATTTTTTACCATTTTCATACAAATGTTGCAATGACAGTTTTTGTTTTTTCCCTCGTGTGTTAATCTATCCTAACACCTTTATCCAATGGCAGTATGTTTACACTACTACTAATGATGTGAATTGCTCATGTTGAGCTATATAGAAATTGCAACTTATATACAAGTGTTTTAAGAAGAAAGTTCATTTATTTTTGTAAGCTTACCTTAAAATGTTAATGCTGTGTAAAGGCATTACGTCTTTTTCACCAGGGTTTCCTTAAATGTAATATTTAAAATAAGTTCCAAACTAATGATCCGCATTGTTAACAGTTGTACCTTACATTGACAAAATAGATTTTAAAAGTTTGAATAAACATTATCATAGAATCTTTGTTAAGTAAACTTACTAGTTTTTTTTCAGTTTAAAAGGGTACCCAACACGTTGACTAAAATAGATTTGACTCGTATAAATTTCATTAAAATGTTGACACAATATTTACTTTGACCTGTGCACAAAAAAATATAAAATTTTTCAGAAATATGAACCAAACAATTTACAGGAATAATTTCATTGGATATATAGCAGTTTGAGAAACACTAAATTTGATTATTTAGAAGCTTGCTTTTCTCTTCCTTGTCCCCTGAAATAGATGTAAAGATTAATGCCCTCAAACTTTGAATTATACAGCGGAGCATGCAGCAAATGTGTACTTTTCGATGGCTTAATATATTGTATTTTACATTACCATCAGTAATGACTAATAACAGAATTCGTTTTGGTTAAAATTTGTTTCCAGAATTGTGTTTATTGGCGGGCATTGCTTAGCTCGATAACAATATGCAAATCAGCCCACCCTCATGACAACTGGAAAGATAAAATAAAAAAAGACTACAGTGATTACAATCGTATTAAAAAAAGCCGAAATGTTACATTGTCTCAGTGAAGTAATTTAGGTTTGAGTGGCTCTTTCAAAACGTGTACAAATAAGTTATTATGGCAAGATAGATAATGCCTAAATTGAAATATGTAATTGTTTCAACCACATGGTTAACATCAAATCCTGCTTGAAATTGAATAGTATAGAGACTTTATCAGATGCTAAAAATATTTTTTCAAAATTTTACATTTTTCAATGAAAGAAAGAATTTGTTGCTGCACAGTTGGAAAGTTTACATACTTTTCGTCAAGTTTTGCGTAAAGGACATCGCGTACAAAAATGAATTAGTTTACCTCAGAACAACAGTACAAAACTTTATCTCCGACATAAATACACTATGTTTATCAGTTGCGGATCTTGGCATTCTTCGGTCGTTTATAATTTGATTAATGCTATAAATACCAAAATATTGTTTTAACCTTAAAATGCAAAATATAAGTAGTGATACAACATGTACAATGAATTTAAGTAAATATTGAAGGACATGTTGATAATGACCCTGTTGTGGAATATAGTTACGGGAAATTAACGTTTATTCTTTACATTAAATACGAAGAATAAAATGTCTTGGCAGATTTTCTTGCTAAAGAGAACAATTAAGAAAAGATCATGAACAATCATAAAACATGCAAAGTTTTTAAAATATCCTATAACTGAAAGACAAACACACTTTTGAAAACTCTAGACGTGGCTCGATATTCTTGCATCCACCTTCTTGGTTTTTGTCTGTGACAGTTTCTAGTGCGCCTGGTTCCAAATGTACGATTCAAGTTTTATAGTGTTGTTTTCATTTTGAATACCTTTGTATTTATATTTCACTGACTTTATTCTTTATCGGGATAGTGTATATGGATTGATCATAGACACCAAGATTAATATTTTGCACACAAAATTTTGTCTGCAACAGCCTCATCAGAGACGCTCGAATCAAAAACAGTTACAAAGGCCAAATAAAGTACGAAGTTGAAGATCAATGAGGACCAAACCACTTCAAAATGTTTTGGCAAACAAAGCT